TGTAGATTTAATATTTAGCAAGCCTTCTATACAATCATATTTAAATCATATTGCATTGGTATGTATGTTATTTTATTTATTACATTATTTAGAACACACACATATGCCACCCTTGTAAAGTAAGCTTACCGCTTGTGAGCTACATTCATCTATTATATATAACATGCATGCATACACACAAAATATGAATGACATTTTGAAAAGCTAGACAATCAGCTTTGGATACCATACAACACAAGTTACTACAAGCCATTAGAAATGTTTTCCTTAAATTTAATACAGTCTTGTAAGCCAATAAGTACTATAGTCTGTGCATTCACATTTATCTTCTAGATAAAATTAACTTATGAAGAGTACATTAGGAATTTGCACAATGCCTAGATAATACTAATTCTTTAAAGCTGTATTTAAGAGCATTGAAGTTTAGAATACTTTAGTGCAGGTCCGGATTAAGAGCCCATTGGGCCTGGTGCTGACAATTCTGATGGGTCTAATTTCAGAATCTTATCAACAGAAAGCAGTAAAACAGTTATACCTCCCAAGCGTCATGTATCTGGTGGAGCTGGTGCTGGAGGGGAACTCACAGGATTTAGCTATAGGAAAACACATACCCTATACTAATCTCACTTTCATCTTTCAAGTAAATACATACCCCCTAATAGCAGTGTACTCTGAAGTAGGATTTATTTTTTTAAATTCTTTATTTGTAAGTTTTTACATGAAGTCAGGTGAAAGGGGTAACAGGGTACAGAAGAAGAAAATTGGGAGGTGGGTAGGAGTGAGTCAGTACAATGCATTGTAATAAGGTTTAGTACCAACGCAGGGTACACTTTCACATTTGATGTAGCTTTCACTTATGTCAGTATTGTGACCTTGTGAAGCGTTTACATGAGTTTTCTACTGTACACTTGTTCCTTATTGGTGTGCTTCGTCAATCCTCGAGTCCTTGTATGTCCTTTCTGTCTGTGTTCTGCTTTATGGCTGTCCGGGGCAGGGCATGGGGTTGGGTATAGGTTGTGGGTCTCGGGAGTTAGAGCATGGGGGGTGGTATTGCGACTCGCAGGCCACTCAGTGCGCAGTCCCCTCGTCGTGGGTTGGTGCCTGTGGTTTGAGAGTAATTGGGTTAGGTATGTTCGTGTTTGAAGGTGTGTGTGTTATTGTCTCGGTCAGACCGCAGCGGGGGGGTGCAGCCTGTTCCTGGTGATGTTACCATGGGATGGTCGTGTCTCCCTCCAACCATGGGTCCCATATTTTATGGAACTGTTTGGGTGAGTCATGTAGTTGTTCTGTGAGCTTGTCCATTTGCATGCTATCTATTATTTTCCGTGTGATTATTTCTTGTGTTGGTATGCGGTTTGTGGACCATAGTTCTGCTATAGCTCTTCGTGTTGCAAAGGTGATTCGGGCAGTGAGTTTATTCTCTGCTCTAGTGTATCGTTCTGTTGGTTTAGAGAGCAGTAGCGCCCAGGGATCCACAGGACAGGGTTTGTCTATTAGTTTGGTGATCAGTTGTGGACGGGTGTTGTGCTCTCCAGATGTCTATTAGTCTTGCCAGAGTGGTTGGAGTTTCGGACACGTCCACCAGCAGTGGAGGAACCTCCCTGTCTCTCCGCATTGTTTCCAGCAGGTGTTGGATGGTATTTGATGCATAATGGCCAGGCGTTGGGGGGTGAGATACCAGCAGAATAGCATTTTGTAGGCCTGCTCTGTGTGTGTGACGCATATTGATATGGAGGCTGTTGCCTCCCAGATGTCCGACCAATCGGTCGGCTCTTCTGGGGGACCGAGGTCTATTTCCCATGCTGCTATATATGGGAGAGATAGTTGTGTATGGTGGGTGGCTATGGTTGCATATAAGTCAGAGATTTGTCCTTGTCTGCTGGGATGTTTCGCGCAGTCTCTCTCAAAGCAGTTGGGCTGGGCTATGCTGGCTTGTTTTATGATTGGGGTCGTTGCGAAACTACACAGTTGTATGTATCGGAAGTGATCGAAAGTTGTAAGAGAGGATGAATCTTTGATATCTGAATTGTATGATGTTGTTGTTGTTTTGATATAGATGCCCCAGTCGGGATATGTCTCTGTGTTCGAATTGGGCAAAGTGTTTGGGAGTGAGTTTCGGTGGGAATAGCCTGTTTCTCCAGATGGGGGTCATGCGGGAAAGGAAGGATGACAATTCAAATTTGTCCCTCATTTTGTCCCATAGATCGAGCGCGTGGGTGATTGCGGGTGCAGTTGTGGGGGGAGGGGGGGCCTGTGTGGTTTGGGTATCCACATGTATAGGGATGGATTATCCCAACCGAAGATTATGTGTTCTAGGTCTACCCATCTTTTTTTCCCCGGTGGGACGTGCCACTGTTGTATTTGCGCCAAGTGCGCTGCTGAGTGGTAGTGTGTAAAGTGCGGGAGTCCTAGTCCCCTGTGTTTCTTGGGTACATATAGTGTGTTCCGGTGTACTCTAGGTTTGCGTCCATTCCAAATGAATGTGTCTATAGCTGACTGTAGTTCCTTGAAATCTTGTTTATGGATCAGTTTTGGGAGGGTTTGGTAGAGGTATAGGAATCTGGGAAGGAAGTTAATTTTGATAGTGGCGATGCATCCCAGCCAGGACACCCATAGGGGTCTCCATTTGGTCAGGTCTTCATGGGCTTTCCGTAGCAGTGGGGTATAGTTTATTTTATATAGAGTAGTGACGTCTGTTGGAAGTTGGATCGCTAGGTATGACATTGTTGTGTGGCAGGTCCTCATCGGGCATGTTTGATTAATCCTGGCTAGGCATGGGGGATCTATTTGTATCGGGAGGAGCTCGGATTTATTCAGGTTGATCTTGTACCCCGAGAGTTCGGAGTAATCTTGGATAATAGTGAGAAGGGAGCCAATTGAGTGTTCCGGGTTTGTCAATGTTAGTAAGATGTCAGCATAAGCTGATATTTTATATGTTTCTCCCCTTATCATTATCCCCTCCACTTCACGGCTGGAACGCACCGCCTCTAGCAAGGGTGCCAGTGATAGGGCAAACAACAAGGGAGATAAGGGGCACCCCTGTTTCGTGCCGTTCGTGATGGGGAATTGCGGCTGGGGTATATTGGGTAACAGCAGTGCGCCTTGGGGAGAGTGGTAGATAGCGTGCAGAAATGGCGTAAATTCGGGTTGGCATCCGTATGTGTGTCAGTGTGTGGTGGAGAAACAGCCATAGCAAGCGGTCGAACGCTTTTTCTGCGTCTAGTGAGATGACCGCTGTTGGTATCTGTCTGTGATTAGCTAGCCATATGAGATCTATGGCTCTCCGGGTATTGTCTGCAGCTTGTCTGTGTGGAATGAATCCCACTTGATCTGGATGAATGAGGGACTCTAGTTATGGGTTTAAGCGGTTGGCCATGATTTTGGTAATGAGGTCCACATTGAGAAGGGAGATTGGCCTATATTGGGCGGGTTCCGAGTGGTCTTTTCCAGGTTTAGGGAGGAGGCAGATGTTTGCACTCCCCTTTGAGTGCGGCATTGAAGACTGCGCATAGGTGTGTGAGGAGTAGCGGGCCAAACTCTTTGTAGTATAGGGCTGTGTAGCCATCCGGCCCTGGGCTTTTATTGGGTTTGAGGGGTCCCACTGCCTGTGTCATTTCTTCTATTGTGACCTCCTGGCTTATTAGGGCTTTAGCCTCTTGGGACATGGTGGGTAGTGTTATGTTTTGAAGAAATGTTTCTATGCGTACGGTAAGTGATTTCCTGACATCTTGGGGTCGGTGGTCATGGTTATAGAGATCTGTGTAATAGAGATTTTGCCTATGCGAGTTGGGCACTTACTGAGGGTACCGTCGTCTGCGCGGATTGAGATAATCTGTTTAGCTTCAGTTCGTTTTTTGAGTCTGCGAGCAAGCATGGTATCTGCTTTGTTGCCTTTTTCGTAAAATTTTTGTTTTAACCACATCAGGGCTTTGGCGGTGTCCACTTGTATGAGGGTTTTAAGAAGATCCCTGGTTGCTGTGAGTTCAGTCAGTGTGGTGGGGTTAGGGTGCTTTTTGTGTTCAGTTGCTAGGCAACGGAGTTCCGTCATTGTTTTCGGATATTTGTCATTGCGCATATTTTGTTTTGTGGGTGGCTAGACTAATGAAGGTGCCCCTGATGACCGCTTTGTGAGTGGCCCATAGGGTCATAGGAGAGGTTGTTGTGGAAGTGTTTAGTTCAAAGTAGTCTTTGATTGCTTTGGCTATTTTGTCCCTAATCAGTTTGTCATGGAGGAGTTGTGGGTTCAGTCGCCATGACCAGTGTGTATGAATGGTTGGTAGGTTTAGAGTGATGGCTATCTCGGCGTAGTCAGACCAAGATATCGGCCCGATGTCTGAATTGGTGATCTGGGGTATTAAGTTTGGTGATATGAGGAAATGGTCTTTGCGCGAATAGAATCCATGTGGGGGTGAGTAAAAGGTATAGTCATTGGTGGACGGATGTTGTGCTCTCCAGATGTCTATTAGTTTTTGTGAGGCCAGGAATTGAGCAAAGAGGTTGGGTCTGCGGTAAGATTTGTGGTGTCTAGGCCCAGGCGCTCCGCGAAGTCGGTTACATCGGAGGTGTTGTACAGGGTATATGTGCGGTTGTTCTTCCGGACCTGCAGCCTGAAGGGGTGCCCCCATGAGTATCAGATGTGTTGTCTAGTGAGTTCCTGAGTGAGGGGCCGCAACTCTCTTCTTTTGTGGAGGGTGCTTGGGACCAGATCCTGGAAGAAGGAAATTTGGTACCCTTCTATTTGCAGTGGGGTGTTTCGTGCTGCCTGCATGAGTGCCTCTTTGATATGAAAATAGTGCACTCTTATAATGATGTCCCTGGGTTGAGTCGCATTAGGAATGGTCGTTCGTAGGGCTCTGTGCGCTCTGTCCAGCAGGAGCTCCGCCGGTGAGGCCTCTGGGAGTAGGCCGCAAAAGAGCTTGCGCAGAGTTGGGGCCAGGGCTTCCATTTCGACCGTTTCTTGCACACCGCGGATCCTGATGTTGTTGGGGCGGGATCGATTGTTAAGGTCCTCCTGGGCCTCCTCCAGCTGGCGGATTTGATCCTATAGGGAGGCTATGACCTTTTTTATTTGCCGTGGTGCGCATGGCGGTCCAGTCTAATTGTTCTTCAATAGCTGTTGTTCTGTGTGTCAGATCACTTAAGCCTTCTTTTATGGGAGTGAGGTGTTTGTCAAACTCTGCCGTCGTATTTGCTTTTATCTCGCGCAGTAGGTGTTGGAGATCATCCTTTGTAAGGGGGGTTGATGAGGCTGCTCGGCTCATATCGCTAGCTGCTGAGTCTGAGTCATATTCACGGCCATCTTCAGCACAAGTAATGCCGCCGTCTCTGCACCACCTCTGTGCCCTGCTTGGATTTTCGTCCGCCTCCCATGTCAGCTCGGTTGGGTTCCGTGGTTGGGTGACCGAGTGAGGGTAAGTATCTCGGCTGTGGTTGCTGAAATTAGCTGATTCTTTGCCTGTTTGGACAGAGCTCTAGCAGAAAGCCGCCATTCACGCCAGAAGTCAGTCACGCCCCTCCTGAAGCAGGATTTTGGTGGGTGGGGTAAAAGAATGACTCACGTAACCAGGGACGAACAGGCCTAAAAAAGTTGGTGTGTCCGCACAAAGAATTAGATGGTCAGGCTGGCGTGAATGCACATCAGGCTGCCTGCCAATAATGCAGGATGACCAACTAAGGGCATACTGTGCAGACAGAACCCTGGGCATGGCATAGATGCATCTAATGATGCACTAGCTCTGTGTTTCCTAAGGACTGGCCCTTAGCACTCGCTGGTCCACTCCTCTCCTAACCTTCTTACTAACAGGCAGAAGCTTCTGTTATACAGTCTGGAACAGAGAAAAAGTATATGTAGTGAGTGAAGAAGAAAGGAAACATGCCACAGTGTTAGAGAAACTGAAGCAGCAAGAGCATTTGCATAGTGCACAGTCAGCTGTACCTTAACTAATTTAATTGTCAGCCAGTCCACACCCGTTTTGTTCCCCTACATTCCTCTTAAGTTTCCATACTTATGCAAGAGCTTTTTTTTTTTTTTTTTTAATTAATGGGCCTATTCCATAAGCATGAACTTGCAGCTGCAGCTCCATCAGCCCCTATGTTAACCCTGCCCTGCTTTAATGTTAACCAAAATATAACCTTGAAAAGCTAATATTGGCACTAAAGATGTTTGTAGACTTCAACTCCATGTTGTTAATTCACCATTTGCATGCATTTTCACTAAATATTTAATTACTGAAATTCTAAATAATGTCTCAATTTTAGGCCAAGTGGTAAAAACTCTTCAAGTTGGTTCTTTCAGTTCAGCTATTTTGCCCCACAATTAGAAATTTGCACTTGTAAAATAGACAAAGGAAGCTTCTTACATATTTGGTGGCTTTGCACACAAGTCAGAAATCTACAGTATGAGTCATATCTATTTCTAAATAACTTAGGAAACCCCACAACTAGCTTGATTACATCTGTTTGAGAAAAAGTTAGCTGAAGATGAATTATTATTAATTATACATGCTTTTAATGCCAACAAGATCTTAGCTACTAGGCATTCAGGGCAAACTAAAGTAGCATCCCAATTAGAATTTAAACATCAAGTTAGATTGGCAGGATACTAGAGCAAGGAAAAAGCTCTATTTGTTCACATTGGCTTAAAACTACACATGTGCTTTAGAACTTTCTTATAGGAACACATTGAGTCAAAGTCCAAAGTTGTGCATTAGAACTTCCCTATAGAAAGCATTGAGTCAATGTCTATTTTGTCTCTGTGAAAATGCAAGAAGAGTCTCTAGTGCAACCACGTGGAGTGTTCGGCTTGCACAGGCCTACAAAGGGAGCGCCTATAGGTGTCTGGAGCAGGTAAGTTTGTTACACAGAATTGTTAGTGGCAAGGCTTAAACTGTTCAAAGATGTGGTCTATGCATATCCCAGAATTTAAGAATTAAAGTTAGGTGCATGCACATGGCTAGGATCTTAGGGTGAATAGCTTTAGGGAGCCATAGAACTTTATTAAGAGAATGAGGTTGGATAGATATATTTTTCTGCACCCCAAAAAACCTTGGTGGTTCTTTAAAAAGAGAGGAAAATTGGTTGAAGTGATACAATTACAGTTCTTTAACATTTCTAAGGACATCAGCTATACCCAAACCCTAATGAGAAGACATAAAGTAACAGAGATAAGGGGCACCCCTGTCTGGTTCCATTGGTTATCCTAAATGGGGAAATAAGAAGCCTGCTTGGAGGATTTGTGACTTGGGGTTGTTGTACAATTAAAATATGGCTTTAATATAAGTGTCCAGGAATCCAAATTTATAAAGCACCCCATGCAGAAACCTCCAATTCAGACAGTCAAAGGACTTTCCTGCATCCAAAGCTCAAAGAAGTCCATTCGAAACAGTGCCATGGAGGCGGCAATAGGGTTTTTAGGTAGGAAATAGGGGAATTCTTCTATTAGCCAGTAATTTGACATAGATTTTTATGACAGATAGAAAATTTTGCCATCGGGTGGGGGTCTTATCTGGCTTTGGAAGTGTAACTATAATCACTAGTAACATATCCTTAGGTACAGCTCCAAAGGACATATATTTTAGAATAATTGTTAGAGAAGGAAGTTTGTTTTCCCTTTAAGGCAAGTCTGTCCAACCTGCTGACCTCCATATGTTGCTGAACTACAACTCCCATGATTCTTTCAATGAAACAGATAGCCAGGGAATCATGGGACATCTGTGGTTGCACAGGATGGACAGCCCCGCTTTAAGGCATTTTACCTTCTTTACCAACTGTATGGTAATGTGTCACTTTTAATCTATGCAAATAATTGTTGCTTTTCAAAGGTAGCTTACTTAGTAAGTAAGAGGTTCACCCCAATGTCATTTGAATATATGGATTTTGCTGATGAAATTTAGATAAATCGATTATTTTGTGGCTACAGTCTCTGATATCTGCTTTGGACTTTTTCTCAAGCATAAAAGAATAATTCCTCACACTACCATTTTGTGTGCTAATCACATGGATGATTCCCTAACATCAGGAGAGTCGTTAGTAGTGAAACACTGGGAGATAGACTCCTCAAGGGATTGTGCAAAGTTTTTATCTAAAAGTAAAGAATTGTTAAATTATTTAATTGCATCTATATTTGAATTTGCTATGCATTTTTAATATTACTGGGCAGTGTTCAAACCACAGTAGATCTCATGTAGTGCAGCTGTGTAAATAGTGCAGTCCTTGGTAATCTAAAAATAATGTGTTTATGTGGCCTGTTCCCCAGCTCAGTCAACTCGTTCTTAATCGGCCAAGTTGTGGAAGTGTGCAGTCAGTGTAGAAGTTAACTGTGTAAAGAGGTTGGCTAGCATAGACTTAATGTTCAGAAAAGTAACAGGTTTATCCTCTGCCAATGAGGCTTGGAGGGAATGGTGAGCCTGCGAGTGTGGCTGAGCCTTCATCTTGGGCCTGATCCTTGCTTTCCTGCAAATTCACAGTTTTGGGTTTTTTTTCCAGAAAAAAGGACATTTGATTTGTCCTATATGCCCTCATTTTGCCCTTCTGAGAAATTGGGAGGTGTAGGTCTCCTGTGTGGAATAGATTGTGTGGTGCCCCGTGCCCTCTTACAAAATTGCTCATAAAATAATGCAGAGGAACTACTGAAGAACAGAACTATACCCCATTGAGATCTAAAGGAAATATTTCATAAAGTAAAAGAAGCAAAACTCTCAAGAAACAAAAAAAAACAAACTATCCCATAAAATCCCATAACAATGTGCCATATAATTTCTTGAAGGAAACAGTAAATATAAAAATTATACTCACAAAATGTATCAAAGAAAAGAGAATAATATACAAAATATAAAGATAAAGTTTGGCACAAAACTATTAACAATAAACAGAAAATAGTGAAAGAAGGTGTTATTTAAGTACTTAGGTGATCATAAACAAGTTATGATTGTAAAAGATTACACTGGAGATACTTAACTGGTAAATGTTAAAAATAACTCCAGCACAGACCAGCTATCTCACACAGCAGAAATGATCACATATCCAAGCTGTGTATGTACATGCAGAAAACATACAATGGTGCATGTCTTCATAACACATTATTTATCCACATCAAAGTGACTAAATTCACAGAGTAACCCATTCTCCTTCAGCATAACTATGTGAAAAATACTTCCGGGGGGGCGTGGCCTAGACACCGACGAAGATGGCGGCTTAATTCCTGAGCTCCGCCACACCAAACCCCAGAACGCGATCCCCAATAAGCTGCAGTGTACCAATGGGTCGCAATCGCCGCACGGAGCACTCCCAGAACCCGAGGGACCCGCAAACGGGCCCGCAAAAGGGCACCATGGACGGATTCCTGCACCCACCGCGTGGGAATGATGGCGGGCCTGACAGCCCGAACCCAGCCTCACAATCACCTGTCTCGGCGGCGGGTGCTGACTCCGCGACCCTGGAACGGATCAGCGATGAGCTGAGGACAATGACGGCGGCCATGGCCACTAAAGCTGACCTGCTGACTCTCACTACCACCATTCAAGACGCCCTGCGGGCGGAGATGGCGGGAATCCGGGTGGAGGTGAGCACACACACAAACCGCATAGAGGCCCTAGAGGCCACCACTGAGGCCCAAAACACAAGAATAGTGGCATCTGACACAGCTATAACCAGACAGGGAGATCTGCTCTTACATATGCGCAGACACTTAGAAGACCTTGATAATAGAGGCCGAAGATGCAATATACGAATCAGGGGAATCCCTGAAGCTGAAGGAGGTGAAAACATAGAAGAGCTTCTCACAAACCTATTCAAGCTTATACTACAGGCCAACGCTCCTCAGAATTTTGAATTCGAGCGAGCACATAGGGCCCTGAGACCACGCCCGATCGAAGAAGGACCTAGAGATACGATATGTTGCCTTCACTCATTTCCTATTAAAGATGCCATCATGAAAAAAGCTAGAGAGCAACCCACGTGGCTATTCCAGGGAGCCCAAGTATCGCTCTTTAATGACCTATCCCCATACACATTAGACGCCAGACGGGCACTTAGACCAGTGACGGCGGCGCTCCGCGACCATAACATCGTTTACAAGTGGGGATTTCCATTTGCGCTACTAGCACGCCGTCAGGACACTTGGATAGCTGCCAGGTGGCCCGAAGAGGTGCCACGCTTTCTGGAAGAGCTGAACTTGCCACCCATCCCAGTCACCAATTGGGTCTTGAGCCAGCCGGGACCGGCACCACGACCACAACGAGTGCCCCGCAGACGTGGAGGCGGCTCCCCACCGGGTCGGCCACTCCAAAGGCGAAGACAGGGACCTGGGAACCCTGCGGAGTAAGTACCTCGATACCTACAAAAACTAGGCCCTCTCTACCCCACCTGACCTAGATTATGATTCTCCTGGACAGCACACGAGCCCACCAACACACGGTCTCAACCATGACATATAAGGGGCACATAACGAGACTTTTTTTTTTGGGAGGTGCGGGCAAGGGGACGACTTGGGGATCACAAGAACCTCACATACCATATTATACGACAGGGAACTAACTGAGCCACCGGATGGGCCCCAGCCCATACATCACGGAACGATCCAACCACCCTATTGACACCAGACTAGAGAGAACCCACCTCATGCACCATGTGAATTGGGGGGCCCCTTGAGTAAGCACATGGATACTAGGATTTTGGGCGGGGGTATTGGGGAAGAATTGCCCATGCATGATCATACTCAGTAGAGGAACAGCGGACGAGTTACCCGGGAACGGGGGTATACAGATCCACCTCACAATGCCCTCATCGACTTGCACATGCCTATCGAGACGATGGGGACAACAACTGCTTGCTTGGGGCCTGGGGCCCAAAGGGGTGTAGAACCTGGATACACCCACCCTTTGAACAGGTTATAGGGTGTATGGAGGAATCCCCCCCCCCAGCAGTTTTAACGAATCACTCTCTTACCAAAGCCACAAATTGCAACTGACCACACTGTTACTGATACTGTATTGCATATCCAAAACCAATGTCGTTAAAATGCAGGGTAATCAGGAAAGGTGGGGATATAGTTGATGGGAGGCTGATGCATTGGGAATTGCCTATTAGCAGCTAATGGGGGGACTGACCAATGCTGGGACTCCATTAAGGAAAGAGAAATGTCGCAGCAAAGGACCCCACAAAAGCCACGGGTTTGGGGGGAAGTGCAAGGGTGAAGTCGCCATACAGGGAGGATGGGTAGTTCCTGCATAGTTAATATATATGATAGCACCTGGGACGACCCAATTCTCACCTAGTTGATGTGAAACCCCTGGGGGTAAATGTCCCCACGCTACCTTACATGCCATCAGCCCCATATAGCCAAATAATAGACCCCACGATAACGGATGTACCCCTAGTTAACCCTGAGCCCGTGCTACTTACCGCCCTAACCCACTTATCGGACTCTGAACCTGGCTCCCATGAAACTTCAATGTAAAACATACTATAGTTGGGGTCAGGTGATTGGAAAATACAGGGGATGTGATCAGGCGGAATTTTGAAATGCTCTCACCATGCATAACGGGGCATGGGGATATGGAAAGGGAGAAGAGATGATGTTAGGAAGGTATAGAACGAGGTGGGGTGGGGGAAACAGGTCATAAAATGCTGAAATAGGTGAGGACTATTCCCGGGGGGTAGTGAAGGGGGAACCGAGGTACAGCAAATTTACTGTAATGTATATATGTTTACCTAGTTACACTGTTAACTCTTAATGTTATATATGGAATTGGATCGCTCTACATGACAATAATCAACTGCATTGGAAGGGGGGGCGGTGTGTGGAGACGAACCACTAACCCACTAACACTTACACTGTAGATCGGGGTCGGACCACGCACCTCACACCACACTCGTGCTTCTCTTTGGATGGCGGAGCCTTGGGTTCCCCCGACACCTGGTCTGGTTACCGGGGCGGGGCCCGACATACTCTGTCGTAGCACGAGGCACCTTCACAAAGGAGGTGGCATAATCGAGACAGAACCTGCAGCAATAGAAAACTTTCTCTTTATTCTTTCTTTCTTCCCCCCCCCCCCTTTTTTTTTTATTGGTTCTTCTCTCCTCTCTCTCCTCTCCCCATTCCACCGCTTCCATCACTGCGCACAACCTAACCTACCCTGTCCCTGGACCGGTCCGGTTTTGGCTCTCTCACCGAACCCCTGGTTTGAGTCGGGTGAACGAGACCCCGCGGGTGTCTCCTTGGTGTAGGTGGGGGGGGAAATGGAGTGGAGGAAAGGGGGAACCACAGACGCAACAATGAATAATAACGACGAGCATCGGAGCGCTGATGTATATTGCCCCGCTCCCCTGACTGTCCTCACCCTTAACTGTAGAGGGTTAAATATACCGGAAAGACGAACCCACTTGCTCAGGGAACTAAGGAAACGCCGCATATCAGTGGCATTGATACAGGAAACACACTTCCGAAAAGACGCTGCACCCAAGCTACAAAATAAATTCTACCCAGTAAACTATTTCTGTGATCATCCAACGGCTCGCAAGACGGGAGTGGCTATCCTGGTGGCGGCTGATCTGGGATTCCAGGGATTAGACAGCATGCTGGACGGACAGGGTCGCTTTCTATATGTAAAGGGAACCATAGCAGGCATGCTCTACACCTTTGCTAATATATACCTACCTAATCGGCGACAGGCTCAGTTTCTCAGGAAAGCGCTGAATAAACTAAGAGACTTCTCGGAGGGTACCCTAGTCCTGGGGGGAGACTTTAATGCCCCACTAGACCCCATCATGGACTCCTCCACAGGACATAGCAGCATCCCACAACTCCATATACGATCCATGAAGAGGGCCCTCGGAGACATGGAATTGGTGGACAGCTGGAGAACCCTCCATCCAACTACCAAAGACTTTACTTACTACTCTGCATTGCATAATCGGTACTCCCGGATAGACTACATTTTTATACGACAGGTGGGCCTCCAGCGGCTGCTATCCGCCAAGATAGATCCCGCAACATGGTCAGACCATGGCCCGGTAACGATCGAATTAAAATCTCCGCTCTTTCGTCCCTCTAAGTGGACATGGAGACTCAATGAGGCCCTCCTTCTCGATCCAGAAGTTCGCGAACAGGTCTCCCAGGCACTGGAACATTACTTTCAGGACAATGATGGGCAGGGGACCTCCCCAATTTCGATCTGGGAGGCGCATAAAAGTGTTATCAGAGGTACGCTCATTCGAATCGCCTCTCAAAAGAAAAAGATAGCGACACGAGAGATGGCAGAACTCTACAAAACGATCGAGGTATTGGAACAACGACATAAGCGATCCCAACTGATGGAGACATACGGAGAACTAATGCAAGCCAGACGGCGCCTGAAGGACATCCTAACGAAACGATACCACCGATCGATTCAGCGATCCAAGGGGTTCTTCTACGCACACGCCAACAAAAGGGGAAGGTACTTGGCACGTTTACTGAAAGGAAACACACCACGCACACAGGTACGTAATTTGCGCCTCTCAACAGGAGCCATGTCGAATCTCCCGAACAAAATAGCAGAGGAATTTCGGGAATACTACCGGACACTTTACAATATACACACGTGTGACAGACGAGATGAGATAGACACGGGAAACACCCGAATACGGGAATACCTGGAGGAGGCGGTCACGACAACGATCAGCCCAGAAGAGGCAGAAATATTGGATGCCCCGATTACAATAGAAGAAATCACCGCATCCCTGAAATCAGCCAAAACGGGTAAAGCACCAGGCCCGGATGGCTTCTCCGTTGGATATTATAAAACCTTTACATCAATATTACTACCATGGCTAACAAAGGCTATCAACAAACTCTCGGATGGGGGGAATTTTGGGGCAGAATCCCTAGCAGCCATAATAACTGTCTTACCGAAACCTGGGAAGGACCCGACGGAGTGCGGCAACTATCGCCCTATCTCACTGCTGAACGTGGACACTAAGTTATTCACGAAAGTTCTGGCGACTAGACTCCAATCTATCCTACCAGCTCTGATACACGTAGACCAAACCGGATTTATCCCAGGACGGGAGGCGCGAGACAGCACCCTACGGACGTTTGCGATACAACATAGGGCGAGGAAAACACGAGAACACCTCCTCCTTCTATCCACAGACGCCGAAAAGGCGTTCGATAGGGTGAAATGGCCTTACATGTTAGCAACGCTGAACAAAATGGGAATGGGACAGGGGCTCCTCACGTGGATCAAAGCACTATACAACAAACCTCGGGCGGCGGTGAGGGTGAATGGCGCACTCACTGCAGACTTTGAGATCTCAAATGGCACACGCCAAGGATGTCCCCTATCCCCATTGCTCTTTGCTATGACCTTGGAGCCCTTACTCCATACCATCAGGCAGCAACCAGACATTCGGGGATATTCCTGGAGAGAGGTAGAGCATAAGGTGGCCGCATACGCGGATGACCTTTTATTCTACGTAACGTCACCGAGAATCACGATGCCATGCCTATTGGTGGCATTCAAACGCTTTGGCAAGATCTCTGGTCTTAAACTTAATTTATCCAAGTGCGAAGTGCTCAACATCACGGTACCTCAAGAGGAATACACAGCTCTGGATGACCTTTTGCCCTTCCGATGGTGCTCCCAGAAAATGAAATACCTAGGAATCTGGATTACAAATAAACCAGGAGATCTCTACTCACAGAACTTTGTCCCACTACTGAGAACGATACTGGAGGACCTAAAAAGATGGGCCTACCCACATATATCATGGCATGGGCGAATAGCAGTTCTAAAAATGAACATCCTGCCTAGGCTTTTATACCCGTTTCAAACGCTACCACTGGCCATACCTGTGCCGTTCTTCTCCGCACTGAAGTCGGCGGTCATTCGCTATGTCTGGAGAGGGGAGAAGTCGAGGCTTCGACATGACATACTCTGTCTACCAAGATACCGAGGGGGACTAGCACTGCCCGATTTCAAACGCTATCACCAAGCCACTGTCCTGCAGCGCATTCTGGAATGGCACACGCACACAACACACAAACAATGGGTAGCCCTGACTAAAGAGAGACGAGGGGCCCACATACAAGCGGCCATATGGACAGGGGGGGCAAGGACTATGAACGATGGAGAAGAGGGGGACCTGATTGCACAAACCATAGCGAGCAGGAAACGCGTGAGGGAACAACCGCATATCTCGCCCATACCTAGCCCAATGATCTCTATCACTGATAACGAAGCGATTGGGGGAAGCATACCGACAGAGGCATGGCCCTTCGCGGAAGATAGGGAACATGTCCCCATTTCCACAATTCTACGGGATGGCACACTGAGGACCATAGAATCGTTGCTGGGAGACAGGCCCCGCTCACCACTGATAGTGCTGCGATACCTACAGGTAAAGCATTACTATGAGACAATGCGCAATAACCACCGCATTCACAGGGACCTTACATGGTTTGAAGCGACCTGTGAAAAGGGCTTACCTCTGGTAAAGGCGATATCCACTCTCTACCAACACCTCCTGGTGGGACACCTAACAGAGAATAATACGTTTCGCAGGCATTGGGAGATGATGCTGGATATCTCCTTCACGCCACAAGACTGGGACAAGGCACTGATATGGCAACACAAGAGCTCCACCAGCTCACGATACCAGGAAACGAACTACAAACTGATCGCGCTATGGTATAGGACCCCAACGCTACTAAACAAGATCTTCCCAACAACACCCCCAACATGCTGGAGATGCGGGGAGGAGAGGGGCACGACCATACACATATGGTGGGAATGCACTGTGATTACCCCATACTGGGAGATGATCCGACAGAAGATATCAGAAATTCTGGGGGACACACCGGAATGGTCGGCTGCACTGACACTCCTACACATCACGGAGATGTCGATAGCGACCTATAAAAAGTCGATCATGCGTCATCTACTCAACGCGGCGAAAGCTCTGATCCCGGCATACTGGAAGAAAACAGAGATACCTCGGGAAGAGGAATGGATCCAAAGGGTAGAGGACATTCAGGGTGCGGAGGCGATGCAGGCCTCCTTGCTCGGTAGAGGGGACAAACATGCAGAGAGATGGCAGCCATGGTTTGTATTTATATCCCGCAACCGTTAGAAGGGTGGACGAGACGGGGGGGAGGTGACACCTGCGGGGGAGCATAGGGACATTAACGGACGGCGTTCCCTATCCCACTATGACTACCCAGGGACGGGGACCCTGGGATCACTGTGTGCATTGGAACTTGGATGGAACTGGAAACCTAACGCCTCTAATCTCTCTCCCCTTCCGGCTATGCTAAAGCTTATTCCTAGGTAACTGCACACTTACATACACTCCAAGACCATAAACATACAAGAGGTTGAGTGAGACACAGGCCCTAGAAGAGATTATACTAGACATAATGGAGAGGAATATATGACAACCTCCCAATCTCGGAAGCTACCAACCCAATCCCAGCCCTGGAGGTAAACATGAACATTAGAGGGACTGAATGATATGAAAGGAGAGGGCAACATGTCCCAGGCCTCACCCTTATACTTAGAACTGCTAGTGAGGCTGGCGAACAGCCCAGAGGTTATTGGAAGAGGTCCATTATTAAAACGTCTGACATACACGACCTGACTGAGGATCCACATCCACGAACCACCAATTCAATGGCAGGACACGGGGGACCAAGGGTTGGACTACACTAGATGGACACGAGAATACTGAAGGACAAACCAAGCTATATAGGTTGAGGACAGGGGGGGGGGGAAGATGGAGACCCTCGATTACGCCAAGCCCAACAACTTATCACTCACTGACTGCTAATAACGCGTATCCAGACAAGACATAAAACCGCCAAGAATAACGTTTGATGTAATGCGTTATGATTCACCCGAAAAGGATCAAAAGGTTTTCAAATACTATTCGGGCATACGAGCACGAGACACAATTTATGTCTGTATTGATTTGTATAACCTACTACCATTCCTGAAAAAATAAAAACGATTTTCAAAAAAAAAAAGAAAAATACTTCCCTAACATATGTCTACATTTTAGTTCCTGAAATCCCATAAATTCTACTGATTCAGCAGACAGGCAATTCTAGGTCCATGTCTTTTCCTGCAATTCCTCCCTGGACTCAAGTTGCTATTGGGAATTATTTCATGGTATTTCATGGTTCCTAACCAATCGATAATGTCCTTCTAGGAGTTCTGACTTAAATATTCTGCTCTCCTCATTTTTTCACTAAACAATTGTAATATGTTTTAGCAACGTTCCCAACCTATTTAAACCACACTTTCTATTGCTGTGATGCCATGTCTTGCTTTTTGTGCTGAGAGGGAGTTTTATTACTTAGTGTTTCTTCTTGGTATTAGTCCCGATTTTACTATTCTACCCTGCTTATTGTTTTGTACCTTGACTGGAATTCTGACCTTGACTCTGAGTTACCAGGTATTTTACTTTTCTAACCTGGCTATCTGTGATAAATTTTAGGTCCAGTTAAAAGTCCTGTGCTTTCATTCCTTTATCTTTCCTTACATTTGTGTGATGGGTTATTCATGACCATGTCACCTAACTGCCTTTTGGTCCAGGGGAACTTTCAAATTGTTGTTTGCTTCTGGAATTTGGTTCTTAATCATCAAACAGCTCCAGTAAGGTTCTAGCTCACAAAAATCATTCTGCACTATGCCAGCATGGTTGTGTTCAATGGCTGGCTTCAAAAGAAATGCAAGCTGCACAATGCCAGTATGTAATAAAGAGTTAAGCATTTTTTGTGGGTGATATTGAAAATATCCAATATGTTCTATTGAAAATAATACCCACTCTTTGTCTGTGTTTATTGGTGTTTTAGATTGGGAAAACAAAGATTGTCAACATCATAATATATCACCATAAATTATCACCTTTATATTTAATATCCTATAATACCAGTTTACATAGAATCTAAAGTGATAAATTACTCTCTTACTCACGTTCTTAAAAATATATATTTTTATTAAGGAGAAAGCAATGATAAAACATCTATAGCAAAAGGATGCAGCATGTCAGAACTGTAGAGAGCTGGTGTAATTATGTCACTGAATACAGAACATTGCAGTATTGTGCATTAAATTAGGATTCACATAGAATTACTGTCCCCACATTTATTTAATTTTTTTAAACATAAACGGAATAAATGAAATATTGTGATAAGGTGACATGAACATAATTATCTCCACATGGTGTTTAAATACGTTCTTAGTTTGAGATATCAGTGGATAAAAGTGAAGAGAAAAATGTGTTGTGGCTTGAAGATTGTAGACTATGTGAAGGAAACATGCGGGCAACATAGAGGCAGCCAAAAAGGATCACTGGGAAAATAAAGAAAAACAAAATGTCAATACATTTAGCATCTATAATAAGCAACCCAGAGGGAAACGAAAAAGCAAATATGCAAATGTTCAGAAGTGTGTTGGTGTGAGCAGCAGAATGTTTCGGTAGATGCAGTTTTCTATAACTTATAGTGAGTAGAAGATGTACCATACAAAAATTGGTACATAAAAATATTGACCATTTCAGGTATAGTGTCAATATGGTAATCTACTCTGCAAAAGGAAAATAATATAGAAGAAATAAAAATTAGAGTACAAAGATGCATTATATTTTAGTTAACTGATATATTTATATAGTAAATCGTGATTGTAGAAAAAAACAAAAGAGAACTACAGAAAGAGTTAATATGTAAATTGAAATGTATTGAAATGTACATTTGGAGTTTGAAATATTGTAAATTAAATCACAAAAAATCCAATAATTATTTAAAAAATGAAGGCAGGTGGGTTCCTCTTTTCTACTCTGTCATTTAATAATCTATTTAGACATGTATGAGTACAGCATAAAGGTCTACTGTTGAGGATTAATTGAAAAGTGGGGGAGGCACCATATTGTTAAATAATATTAAATTCAAATCTATACATTTGCTAACATTTCTGCTTGCAAAATATATAGATGAACTTTAATGCTCCGTAATTTAAACATAAGTCTTGTGTACCTTTATAAGAAGACATTGAGTAAGATTAGTGTGACGAGACCAATCTCGCCACATTGCATTGGAGAAGCCTGGTTGCTCGCCTGCTGCCTTTGGACTATGGTCCCCTGTTAAAAGACATCTTTTTTTACCTGCAGAAAAGCTTCATTCGTGCTTTTCTGCCTGGGGTTCGGTAGTTTTGGTTGAATGTGTTATACCCCAGATAGGAATCCCATGGAGCCCATTCGTATGAAACTGACTGTAAAGACTTTGGCTCCATGGCGATTAAACTGTAATTGTGTGGTCTGAGCGCCATTCACTTAATAATGTGCGCTCAGACCTGAGCTATCTGGGGATATCTTACATGTCTGTGTTTTATGTAATAAATGTGACTTTATGTATTTTAAAGTGTTTTGTGTCTTTTTGCAACCATGTGCTTAATGGAGTCTTGTGTCTGTCCTGGGAGATAATTGAATTACTCTCCAGGATAGAAGACTCTGAAACTGGTTTAGGCCAGAAAGCCATGCTTCATTTAGTCACAAAGGACTTTTTACTAACTTTTGAACCCCTTGTCTGATTTGTGCCATTTTTGAATATGTTGTTCCCCTGAATGGATTGATTGTGAATATGTAATTTTATGTGAATGTGATGTATGGTTTTAGAGTTATGAAAGTTGGGTAGAAAGTATGTTTTTAACTGTATGTGTAATTGAGTTTCCTCTCAGGATAAGGGGAGGGAATATGTGGGATGTAACTGTGATGTGATTGGTTGTTTTATACCTCCCTGTGGGCGGTCCTGTATTTGCAAGACTGTAATAAAACCAGGCTGGGTGTGCCAGCACCTCAGACCACTGCTTGACCCTCAACACGGAGCCTTGTCTCGTTCTTGGGGGGATTCACTGTATGCTGTTAGAGACTGATTGCCAGGAGTGTAAGCTGTTCGTCTGCTTTTCCTGTTGGTCTGCTAGCAGCTATTTGGGAGGTTCCAGTTCGGGAGTTGGAGTGCTATTTTGTATCCAGTTCGTGAGTTTTGGTGTTCTGCAGTAGCTGTGCCTGGATCTCTGGAAAGGGGGCCGATGGCCTAAACGGTTTTTACCCCTTGTGTGCAAAACGGTCCGTTACAATTAGTATGGACTGGAGATCAACAGGACAAGAACAGGATTCAGATATGCAGGTTACCAGGACAATTTGGTACAAGAAAAATATTTGAAATTGATTTGAGAAGGATTAGGATCTGACTAAGTTAAGTAATTCTAAAGCTTTATAGCACATATTGCATTCTACGCATTTCTTTTGAGTTTTGACCCAGCTCATACTGCCTATTCTTGATTTATTGCTTACTATCCTGCTGTTTTGTATCATCGTAGTATGAACATACCTATTCAATAACTCCACTCCTCAGTACATTTTCTCTTTACTTAAAAAATACACCTCTTTTCATTCCCTGCAATGTCAATTGTTATATGCAGGATTTCCCAAGGGATATCCCTCTCCTATCCTCCAGTCCTTAAAGAAGTCACTAAAAACACACCTCATTAAGAAATTCTAACATCTTCCTGTGTGATTGCTCCTCACATTACAATTGCCCTCCTCAGTTCTCTCACCTTAATAGCCCATCTCACACTCTCCTTCCATTGTCTGGTTCTTCCATGCACTACTTTTTCTAGATTATTTTTAGATAATCGTTACCTTTACTATCCTTACCTTTTTGTGTCATTTTACCCCACTCCCTCTAGGATGTAAGCTCATTGAGCAGGGCCCTCAACCCCTCTGTTCCTGTGTGTCCAACTTGTCTGGTTACAACTACATGTCTGTTCGTCCACCTATTGTTGCGGAATTTGACGGCGCTCTATAAATATCATAATAATTATAATAATAATAATAACATGGATATCTTATCCATTAAATCCTCTTCCCCTCAGACATGCTGACATTTTCCTCTTGCGTGCCTATATCTCTTCATCATAGATTGTGAGCTCATTTTAGCTTTCTTTATTTCTTGTCTCTGCTAATACTTTGTATGCCTATTGCTTGTTGTTAATTATGCCCATTCTCTAATGTCAAAGTGCTGTGGAATATTTTAGCAGTATATAAGTAATAATAATTTAAATCAACACTAAAATGATAGTAACAACAGCCATTTTCCCATGTAAGCTGGTACCTTTCTTCCCAGTAATTCTTTTACTTCTGTTTCTTTTGTTTGTTTGTTTTTTGCTTTGAATGATCCATGCTGTATCTACATTAAATATTTACTGTATGACATAGTTTATGTTTTATAAGAAAAAACAAAACTTTAAAACAAAAAAGTTTTATCTTCACATTTTATAAAATAACTTTAACTTCTACTAATTTCACTCTGTCAATTCTCACTGCTAATGCATTTCAGCACTCTAGATCAATATACCATAAAATATTCACATGAAAAAAGTATGCTTAAATACAGTTATTTTGATGTACTTAGATATTTTTAGACGTCAATGTTGCTCATGGTTACTTGGACACCCCACTGTATAATCAGTGTTTTAGATATCAAAGTCGTTTTTTTTTTGGTTTTTTTCTAGCAGGCTAGAAATTGTCACCAACAAATAACCTTGGAAACACGATACATTTTGGAAACAACATATCTCATGTTCATAAATGTTTTAATGCTTCTTTTGATTCAATATAAGTGTGCAGGAATTACTATGTGAATATGTGACAATTGAAATGCATGTTATTATCCTATTGATTTATTTTACAATTTTGTACAAAACAACACTTAAAAAAACTTTAAAAAAAACCCAACAATGTAGCAGTAAAAAGGATTTATTAAAACCCGATGAT